AGAGCAAGTGTAATATGTAATAGGAGTAAAAATATAGATTTTGAAGATATAGGAAAATAAGAGCCCATTTGGTAGCACGAAAATCGATTGATTTGACTGATTCTTCTGAAATTTATGAAGTTCTGGCTGAAGTGGCTGCATTGGGTGATTCTGCTGATTTAGGAAAAAATTATTTTTAAAATATATTTTATTAATAAAATAAAGAAAAAATTATATGTCAAAATAGCTAAAATGATCATCTACAGTAACTTCAGCCAATATAGCCAGAAAAGTAACTGCAATCTTACTTTTTCTGCTTATTACACAATTCAGCGCGCGAAAGCAAAAATTACGAGTTTGGTGAAAAAATTGGTTGATAAGTCTGATAAGCCGAAAAACAGTGTTGCCAAACGGCCTCTAAGTCATGTCATGCATAAACCTTAACAATCCTTAACATGTCATCCTTTTTTTTGTTTTTCGGGATATATAACTCAACTAATAAGAAAGAATTAGGTGGACAAATGGTTTGGTCAACAGGACATGGAAAATGTGACAGCCCCTAGTATTTGCAGTCATTTGAAATGCGCACTGTGCTGTACTAACTGTAGGAGAGGAGAGGAGAGAAATATGCCGCCTGGCCTGGCTGCTTCATCAAGTACCAGATACTCTGAATTTTCTCGTTTTGTTTGTTCACGCGGACAGGAAGCTACCCAAGCTTCTTCTTTTCTGTTGGCTGGCTAGTGCAACCATACCATTTAGCTCTCTATTAACATACCATAGATAATGTGCTGATCTAAGAAAATAGAATGCCCACTTTTGACTATTTTAGATTTCTAGTTATTCACAAACAATGCACACTCCAACCCATTTAAATACGTTGTTACAAATTAATATCCACATTACCCATCTATAGATAGATAATGTGGTAATCTAAGAAAATAGAATTCGCACTTTAGACTATTCTAGGAGAATTTGATCGACTTTGCAATCTATATTTCGTTGTACAATATCACCTTCTAGCGGTGAAAAAGGATCACAATTTTGATTTTCAAACATATTATTATTCTACCTAATTTCTTACTCAGATCGTACTTAGCATTATTTCCGCCTCTCCCTCGATTTTATTACCCCGGGTTTGTAAAGCTATCAAAACATATAAGTAAAACTTGGCATTATTTCCGCCTCTCTTCGTATGGCTCTTAAAAATATTTGTAGCAATTTTAGTTTTATGTACTCTTATTTAGGGAATTGCAATATTTGTAGCAATTTTAGTTTTATGTACTCTTATTTAGGGAATTGCATGCCCATATGTATATATCTATGTTTATGTGTGATACTTATACGTGTGAATGTGTGATATGTATTATATCAAAGTTATAGTGATCTGGGGTGAAATGTTTTCTCGTAAAAACATTAAACTCATCGATATAATTATGACATGAGTATACCCATATTTAGGGAATTTAGGGAATTGCATGCCCATATGTATATATCTATGTTTATGTGTGATACTCATACTTATACGACGTAGTCACGGCCAAATCCGTGACTATACCCGTGACTATAATTAAATTTTAATTTTTCCAACTCCCTTAACTTAATGCGCAACGGTATTATGTACGGATAACTTTAGTCACGGCCATATCCGTGACTAGTTCCGTGACTACTTTGATTAACACGTCATTTACACGTCATTAACACGTGTTGGACGCGTATTGGACACGGTTTTGCTTAGTGACGGACAAATCCGTGACTAAGTCCGTGACTAAATTTTTTATATATGCAGGAGCAGCTCATTGAACAGAACCACACCAATTCATTCCCAGTATATACAGTATCCGTTTGAAAGATCGAAGGATGTAGTCTATCTTCTATCATTTTCCCTGTTTATGCAGATAAGGTATGTTATTTGAATTATAATTTTTATTTAGAATTAGTTGGTTCAATTTAAATTATTAAAACTATTAAATTAGTGAGGTTGTTAATTAATTAACAACATGTTTTAACTATAAGCGTAGTAATGTCATAAATTAGAATTAGTTAAACTTTTAGGTTTATAAAATAATTTAATTAAAATTAGTTAGCTAAATGTACGTAGTTTAAAACGTAATGATGTTTATGTTTAGTGAAATTAGTTCAAATAACGTACGTTAGTAATGTGTTAATTAAGTGAATTGTGAATTGTTATTGTGAATTGTGTATTGCTTATTAATTCAAATAACTTTATATACATGTTCAAATTATTGGGTTGAATTTGGTCATATTATTTAATTTAGTGAATTGTTAATTGTGTATTACTAATAAGATTAAATGTCATTAACGTAATAATTTAGTGTAGGTTTAAACTAAACGTAGGTTTACAAAAATAATTTAATTAAAATTCGTTTGCTAAACGTAGGTTTGAACGTAGCTATTGATGTGTTAATTAAGTTAAATTAGGTAGCTAAACGTAGGTTTAAACGTAGTGATGCATTAAAAGGGGACGGAATGAACTAGTTAAATTTAGTTAAATTTAACTAAATGAATTAGTTAGATTTAATTAAACGTATGTTTAATTTAGTGAAATTATCTGCATTATTGTGCATTAGGGGACATATATTTTGTGCATTATTGTTGTGAATTCTGTGCATTTCATTTAAAAAAAGTGAAAATTATTTAGTTGATTATATTTAGTGAAATAAATTACTTAAAATTGTGTGCATTGCATTTCATATAATTTTTTATTATAATATTCAGGCATAATGTATAAACAAAATAGAAGTTGGATGTATGATAAAGATGCGGTATTGTACGGAATGCAATCAAATTTTCTCGAGGGAGTCGGGGAATTTATTGAATTTGCACTTGAACATCCGGCTTATATGAGTGGTGATAAAATAAGATGTCCATGTTCAAAGTGTAAAAATCTCAAATTTAAAGACCCACACGAAGTTGGGTATGATTTGTACGCGGTCGGTTTTGTTCCCAATTATTATAATTGGACTTCTCACGGCGAACCTTTGGATCCATCTGTTATACCACAAACGGTAGGTTCGTCTCGTTACGTCCCTCCAGAGATGAGTGCGTGGGGAGACCGTGCTGAAATGAGGTGGGACCAACAAATGGTATATGACGCATACGGTGTACCGTCTCAATTCAACCCCCCACAACCACCTAACGACCCCCCTGAAGCCTCAACCTCGTATCAACCAGATGCGGATGAAAATCCGACATTTTATCAACCTTATGTGGATGAAGGTTTGACTGAGAGATTTCAGGATGTTCTAAAAGCTGTCGACCAACCTCTGTATGCTGATTGTGAGGGATACTCTCAGCTATCCGCTGTTACTGAGTTCATGAACATAAAAGCCGAATACAGTCTCCCTGAAACTTGCATGAATAGAGTCTTGCAGTCAGTAGGAGGGATGCTACCGCGAGATCATACCCTTCCCGATTCATATTACCACATGAAGCAGTTAATGTCTAAGTTGGGGCTACCTTGTGTTGAAATTGATGCGTGCCCGGAAGGAGGTATGTTGTTCTGGAAGGAGGATGAGGCACTTGAGTTCTGCAAGTTCTGTGGTGGAGACAGATACAAACCTGTTCGTCAAGGTAAAAAGAAACCACGACATAGGTCTGCACTGTCTAAACTGTATTACCTCCCAATAGCTCCTCGACTGCAAAGGATGTACGCTTCGACTGCTACTGCGAAACACATGACATGGCATGTTGAGCACGAAACCAACGAGGGTATGATGGCTCACCCTTCGGACTGTGAAGCCTGGAGACACTTTGACCGCTGTCATCCTCAGTTTGCTATGGAGCCACGAAATGTGCGGCTGGGATTGTGCTCAGATGGATTTGCTCCTTTTGGCAGGTTTGGCAAGAACTATTCATGTTGGCCGGTCATGTTAACACCTTACAATCTCCCTCCCGACATGTGCATGAAAAGTCATTTCATCTTTTTGTCTTTAATTTGTCCGGGTTCCAAGGATCCTGGGCGAAAGATAGACATTTATCTTCAACCCCTTATTGAGGAGATGAAAGAATTGTGGGCCGTTGGGACACCAACTTATGATGTTTCATCAGATAAAATGTTTATCATGAAAGCTGCCATCATTTGGACCATTAGCGACTTCCCTGCCTATGGCATGCTTTCGGGATGGAGCACACACGGTCTGATGGGATGTCCGATATGCATGGAGAAATCAGGTGCCAACTCGCTCAGTTACAGCAAAAAAGGAAGTTACTTTGATTGTCACCGCAAGTTTCTCCCGGAAAGGCACCGATATCGAAAGGACAAGAAGTCTTTCATTAGAGGCAGAGCGGTACGAGAGAGCCCACCCCCGAGATTGACCGGTGAAGAAATTTATAACCGGGTTCGACGTTTTCCTACGGCTATGGAAGAGCCAAACCAAGAGCCATATGGGTATTGTGATACCCATAAGTGGACAAAGAGGAGCATATTCTGGGAGTTGCCTTATTGGAAAGACCTTCTCATCCGTCACAATTTAGATGTCATGCACACCGAGAAGAACGTCTTTGACAATATATTTAACACGGTGATGGATTTGAAAGGCAAAACTAAAGACGGTCTTGCAGCTAGGAAAGATATGACTATTTGGTGTGATAGACCCGAACTTTCTGTTGATCTAGAATATCAGGGCAAGGAAGTTCCAAAAGCAGTCTACCAGGTCACAGAACCACAAAAGGCAGCAATATTAAAATGGCTTGCGTCTCAGAAGTTTCCAGATGGCTACTGCTCCAACTTGTCTAGATGCGTAGACATGAACAAACTTACCACGACGACGAGCATGAAAACTCACGATGCTCATGTAATAATGCAAAGACTTCTACCAATTGCACTAAAAGAGATGCTCCCTGAACACGTATGGTCCTGCATTACTGAAATCAGTTTGTTGTTTCAATCGATATGTTCCAGCGTTTTGGATGCGGCATCCCTCCGGAGACTACAAGAGTCTGTTCCCATTCTGATGTGTAATCTGGAAAAAATAATGCCACCATCGTTTTTCGATACAATGGAACATCTCATAATACATCTTCCGTATGAGGCTTTGACTGCTGGGCCCGTCTTCTATAGGTGGATGTACAGATTTGAAAGGTTAGTCACAATTTCATTTAAAAAAATATATTTATTTCACAATAACTGTTAACATGTGTATTATTGCATTATTGCAGATTTCTAGGAGAGCTGAAAAAGAAAGTGACCAACAAGGCACACGTTGAGGCTTCAATTTGTCAAGCGTATCTTCAACAAGAAATCTCAACGTTCTCGTCTTTTTACTTCGAGCGTGAGGTCATCACCAGAAGGAAGAGACCTGCCCGGAACGATGACATTGGCGAGGATTTATATGAAAATGTAGTTTCCATCTTCAATTACCCAGGCAGAGGTAAAGGTGCTGCGACACAACGATACATCCTGGGTGGGGAATTGTAAATTGCGCATACTTATATCCTCATGAATTGTCCAGAAATCTCACCGTTTTATCAGTAAGTTAAATTTGTAGGTATAATTGTAATACTTATAAATTAAATTTGTAGTTAATTTATAGTTTTTTTTATTTTTGACTTCACAGTGAATTCCGAGCTTCTTTATCAGCCTTTCCTGAGAATGAAATTGATGCGTTGGTGGACTCTGATTTTGTAAATTGGTACAAGTATCAGGTATATATATACACACACATTAATTATATATATTACCTAATGTTTACCTAATGTTATTATTATGTTTATATTTACAGATCAATAGTCGTGGGATTGTCGACCCTTTGTTAGTATCATTAGCGTGGGGCCCAGGTGCCAGTGCCAAAGTGTGGCGGCAATATGTGATAAACGGTTACACATATCACACAGCCGATTACGGAGAGGGCCGACCAACAACGAACAGCGGGTTATGTGTCCCGACCATCGGTTATGATAACTCGGAAACCAATTTTTTTGGTGTCCTGGAGGAGATTCTGGAACTTGAGATGCCTTCTAGTGCGAAAAAAATGACATGCGTTCTGTTCCGCTGCACATGGGTTGATCCCACACGTGGCGTGCGAAAAAATCCGAAGTATAATATGATTGACGTCAACCACTCTCGTGTGTACCCGAAAAATGAGCCTTTCATACTCGCCCAACAAGCAGCGCAGATTTATTATGCAGAATATCCTACAACAAGGCGGACCCAGAATCCTTGGGTGTGTGCATGTCCTGTCCGTCCGAACAAAATTAAATCACAAACTCAACACAAGGACGTTGATCTAGATGCTTTTCAGCAACAATTTTTCCAACCTCCGCCTATTGTTGAGACGGTCAACTATAACGTCCAATTAAGTGATCCAAATGGCGGACGTGTTGAAGTCATGCCAGAAACGCACCTTCCGGACCTAACCATTCCATCTGAGCGCGAAATTGAGGAAATGTATGTAGCACAACAAAATGCTCAATATCAGGAAGAAGGTGAATGGATAGACGGTTCAGATACAGAAGAAGACACTATATATGTAGAAAATAACGATTCTGACAGCGAGTAATTGTGCTGTTGTAATTTCAATTTTGTGATATAATTTCTCCAAGCATATTTGATAATTTCTTTCATCATTATTGTTTGTAAAATAATTACTCCTTAATCTGTTCTATACCACATAAATTCAAAGCAGTTTATTTAATACTCCACAGTCCACACTACAATTACGATGGTATTATAATATTATAATAGTAATATAAACACAATTAATATATACACAATTAATATTATTATAACGATATAATAATAATAATAAGAATAATAATTATTATTATTAATAATAATAAATCATGTCTGAATTTTTCTGATCTGATCTGATTTGAATAAAATAAGAATAAACAATAAGTAATAACTAACACAAAGACGAACAGAACCACACCTTATTCATTTTTCGGTTCAATAAGTTGTGTACATAGTTTCAGACGACACATTCTTGTACGCATCATATCTCAGTCAATTGGTTCTTTATTAGTCATTTTTTAGCATAAAATGCTTGGGTGACAGGAAAATGAAATTATAAATTAAATAGTCACGGTTGTAGTCACGGTCAGGACCGTGACTACACCCTTCGTAAATGCCGAAGTCAGGACTGACGGTCAGAGGGGCGCTGACCACAATAGTCACGGTCATAGCCGTGACTATGACCGTGACTATTTTCAAATTTTGAAAACAGTCACGGTCATAGTCACGGCTATGACCGTGACTATTACGATTAAAGGCGGCTCTGACCGCCTCGCTGACATCGTCAATTACGAAGGGTTTAGTCACGGTCCTGACCGTGACTATGACCGTGACTAAACAATTATATAAAAGAAACACTTAGCGTTTTTTTAAAAAATCCTACGCACCATATCTCAAACCCTACACCACCTCTTCCTTCTCTCTTCCTTCTCTTCCAGTTTGCTTAGTGCCGCCGCCGTCGCCGCCTAGCATCTGCCGTCGCCGCCGTCGCCGCCTAGCATCCGCCGTTCCCGTCGTCTACAACCAGTAGTCCGCCGTCGTCCGCCGCCTTCCGTCGCCACCCCTTCTTTTCTCAGTCAAGGTTATGTGTTCTTTTCATCTTATTTGTAATATTTGATTAAAATTCCAAAAATGCATGATTGTATACTCAAATCCATGATTAAGATGCATGATTTTTAGTTTCATATCATTTTGTAATCTTCAAAAGTTATATGTATGATTTATTATATGCATGAGTTGTAGTTTTGCATGTTAATTTCATTTTATATGTTTCGTATCCATGATTAATATATGTTCAAATGTAGATTATTTTATGTTTAATATATGTTCATATGCATGATTAACATATTTTCGAACTAATGCGTTTCATATAATATATTTTCGAATTAATATAATATGTTTAATATTATATGTTTCATATGCATGATATGATTTATATGTTTTGTATGCATGATAATTATGTTTAAATGATTTAAATTATTATATGTGTAATATATGTTCATATGCATGATTAATAATATTTAATATATATGATTAGTGTGTGATATGCATGCCTCCCAATGGTTAACCCGAAATATTTAAAAAAAATTTGCCCCCTCATGTTAAGCTTTCACAAACTTAACATGTTTAATTCTAATTTAACAAATTTTTATAAACAAATTTTATAAAAAGTATACAAATTATTTTATAAACAGTTTCGATAAACAGTTTTTATAAACAGTTTTTAAAATTTTGCAAATTTTTATAAACAGTTTCTATAAACAGTTTTTATAAACAGTTTTTATAAATATAAAAAGTAAAAATTGGATACAAAATGGTAAATAAACAGTTTTTATAAAAACTGTTTAATAAATAAAACAGTTTTGTAAAAACTGTTTTTATAAAAACAATTTTGAATGAAAATTTAGTTCACTTAAAAACTGTTTTATATAAAAACAGATTTTGTAAAAACAGTTTTTATAAAAAATGCAGTGTTTTTAAAAACTGTTTTGAATGAAAATTTAGTTTACTTAAAAACTGTTATTGTAATTTAATTAAAAACTGTTTATATAAAAACTGTTTATATAAAAACTGTTTATATAAAAACTGTTTATATAAAAACTGTGTTATATAATCTGTTTTTGTAATTTAACTAAAAAAGTATAAAACTGTTATTTAGACATTATAAAAAACGTTTTTTTGTATAAACTTAAACTATACTGTTTTTCTAGAAAAACAGTTTGTATAAAAACTGTTTTTTATTTAAAAAGTGTATAAAAACTTTTTTTTATAAACTGTTTTTGAAAAAAAAGTATACTGTTTCTAGGAAACAGTTTGTATAAAAACTGTTTTTTATTTAAAAAGTGTATTAAAACTCTTTTTTATAAACTGTTTTTGAAAAACTGTTTATAAAAATTGTATAAAATTCATGTATCTTAAACACCAAAAAAAAGATGGCCTCTCATGTAAACTTTGCAAAAAGTTTAACATGTTACTTACAATTGTAAATGTGTATAAAACAGATAAAAAAATGGCCTCTCATACAAACTGATATGACTGATAAAAAAAAAGATGGCCTCTCATATAAATTGATATATCGAAAACATAAAAAAATGATCTCCTCTCATGTAAACTTTGTAAAAAGTTTAACATGTTACCTCTAAGTGCAATTTATTACCAAATTATTTAAGAACTTATTATGAAAAAATATGGACCCCTCATATTAAACTAAAAATAGTTTAATATGCTATACACATTTTCAATTAATAATACTTGTATAAATTTTTATAGTGAAAAATAATAAATATACCCCAAACTTTAAAATAATAAATATACCCCAAATTTTTATAGTGAAAAATAATAAACTGTGTATAAGTTTAATATGAGTGGTTCAATAATTTCTAATAAACTCATCCTATAATTTATCAATGAGTTGACCCAGTCGATCGAAGAATCGATCAGTTGGAGCTTGTCAATGAGTTGACCTAGTCAATTCTTAGATAAGCTCCAATCTGTGGATTCTTCTGGCTACGGCTTGAGTCATCGATGGACTCTCCCAAACGCATGTACTGACATTATGTCGCTACATGTGATGTAGCCCATCCATGGTTCAAGGCGTAGCCTGAAGAATCGTCAGGATGGAGTTTATCAATGAGTCGACTGGGTCAACTCATTGATGAGCTCCAACTGGTTGATTCTTCGGTCGACTGTGTCAACTCATTAATAATTATAGGATTTGTTTATTAGCAATTATTGGAACCTAATATTAAACTTATACCCAGTTTAATATGTTATATACATTGACAATAGACAATACTTACATAAAAATTTGATCTTCTATTATAAGAGTTCTAACAAAAAACAAATTAAATTAATATATTTTAGATGAGCAACGAACAATCGACCTCAGCTCCCCGCCCTAACTATGCGCCCATGTCCGAAGCGGAGCGCAACAACGAAGGAGCTGTTTGGGTGACCCCTGCAGATGTTCTTTTGTAAGTAGTTATGAAGAAACCTTATTTTCAATAATTTTATATAATGTTAAATAATCTAACCAAATCTTATATAAATAAATACTATTAATTTTTTTAAGTGACGAACAAGTGTTCAAAGGCATCAAAAGCATAATCGGAGGACACTTTCTTGGCACTTGGGCCACGCTGTCGGATGTTGACCCCAAGGTTCGCGAACTATGGTGGAACCTGTTCAAGGTAAAAATAAATGAATGTTCCCTCCCTGATTGTATTGGCCTAATATATACCTGGTGATTAATTAATCCAATTTGTTTTAATAAAGGCTCACTATCGTTGGACTCACGCAAACGGTGCCGATATTCTTAAAGCCTACAATGCTAGGATTTCGACCTGGCTTCGCGCCACTTTTAAACGTGCGCGAAAAAGTGGGAAAAAGCCTAGATGGGTTTCGGATGAAGTGTGGTCCAACCTTTGTCGCCACTGGTCTTCTGATCCGAAATTCTTGGCTAGAAGTGAATCCGGTAAGAAAAACCGGATGTCCGAGAAGGCCTTGGAGATGCAGTGGCACGGAGGTCGTAAATCTCAGAATGCCCATAAGGAAACTCTTGTAAGTGCTATTCAAAAAAACTTACAACATCACAATCCTTCATTATAAAAAATTTACTTAAGTCTTTTTCACACCATTTAGGCTGGTCCTGAGAAGAAGAGGGTTGATGTTCTCCGGCTCGTCAAGCATTGCTGGACGAAGCACGGCGAGGAATCTGAAGCCGATTTGCCACCCCGCCTCGCTGACTTCGAAGTATGTAACATCATATTTTGTTATTTAGTAACATTTCAAATCTAAGTATGTAGCATTTAAAAAATATTTTTGAAAATGCAGACGAAGTACAACGAATCCGTTGACAGGCAGCGTGCGGCACGAGGCTTGACCCAGGAGGACGACCTCGATTCCGATGCGGATGATGAGGCGGCCATTGAGGCGGCCGGGGTTTACAAGGGCCGGGTTCCGTGCTTGGGGTCCGAGGGGCAACGGATTTTGTATGATCGAAGCACCGGTGCTTCCTCTTCTCGGTCAAGGCGGGGAGAAGATCCTCGTATTGCTACACTGCAGCGTGAACTGGAGGAGCACGAACGGCGATGGGAGGAGCAGCGGAAAGCAGATGAGGCCACAAAAGCCCGGTTGGAGGAGATGGAACGGTTCATGCGTGCCGGATTCTAGCCTCCGCCACAGCCTTTTCCTCCCCCGTACGTATTCCACCCTGAGCAAACTCCTCAAGTTCAGCACATGGGCGGTATGGGATTTTTCCCCACCTCCGGATACGGTGGCATGCCGATGATCTCCCCGAATTTCGGATCTATGTCCTTTGACTTTGCGAGGTCATCCGGAGGAGGTAGTGGCACCCCGGGTCATGGATCCCGAGGAGCACCCCGAGGAGGACCCCGAGGAGCACCCCGAGGAGGAACCCGACCTGACCCCGAAGACCCCCCCGTGAACCCAGATGAGTTTCTTGTTGATGATGATGATGAAGAAGAAGAAGAAGAAAATCCCAATTTTTATCATAATGGAGTCCCACGGGACATGTAATCATCATACATTTATTATTTGTTGTATTTCAAAACATTTAAAAGTTTGTCACAATATTTATTGAATTTGTTGTATGTCTTTACTCTTAAAATGTATTTATTTTAAAAAAAAAATAGTATAATATTTTCAATAACTCATTTTTCAAAAAACATTTTTAAATTTAAAAATGTGTTTAAAAAAGTAATTTTTAAAAACATTTTAAAAAAAACGAAAACTGGAATTTTTTTTTTAAAAAACAAAAAAAGTTGTCACGGCCTTATCCGTGACTATAATTAATCCGAAATTATTATTTTTTTAAATAAAAAACATAATTTTTTTTTCCAAAAAAACCAATTAGTCACGGTCGACACCCGTGACTAATTTCAAAAATTTAAATTACCGCCGCGGGCGGTCTTTTAAAAATTTTGAAAATTAGAAAGATTAGTCACGGTCCAAAGCCGTGACTACTAATATTAATTTTAAAAAAAACTTAGCCACGGCCTCTGACCGTGACTAATACGCCGGAGTGGGGTTCCGGCTAGTATAATAGTCACGGCCACCGACCGTGACTATATTTAGTCACGGTTTGTTGGACGTGACTTCAATTTAGTCACGCCCGTTAAGTCACGAACTTAGTCACGGTCAGCGACCGTGACTACATCTGTTAGTCACGGAAAAATTGAACTGCTGTCCGTGACTAAGTCCGTGACTACACGCGTGTTTTTTGTTTGACATGGCAAATTTTAAGAGTTTCTCAAAAAATAAAAGATCTTTTTTGAAATGCTACGAGGAGTAGCATTTGAGAAAAGCCGTGACTTTTAGTAATAATTTGTCCCAACAGATTGTATACCAAATATAACTAAATCAAACAGCCAATTTTTTATCAAACAACTACCACATTTTCTTTTTAAAATCTTTTCAGCCATTAAAAATTAACAGTTACTAATATCGCCATAAAAGTATCTATTCAGCTAGTCGTGCCAACCATACGCTAAAATTTTAATACAACTTATTACTATATTTACACGTTACATACATGTAATTGCTGGTATTCGAGCTTTTGGCCCTGGACTAAATCCTGGCTCTGTGCATGAGGTCCATTACAAGTCAACTATCTTAAACAAACGAATTTTGCTATTTATACACATTGGATTACACATTTGTGTTGGTCTAATTTTTTACTTTTTTTTACCCCTCTTCCCACATCTCATTCTCTCCACATTTCTCTCCCCACTTCTCTGCCTCCATATACCATTCTTCTCTCCCTCATTCATTTTCCCTCTTTTTCTCTTGAACTCATTTTTCATCTTCAATATAATTAGCATCCTCCATCGTAGGATATTTTTACTTGGACTGTAATTTGATGGTCTGGTCTGGTCTGGTCCAATCTGGTTTCTTTGTATATTTATAATTATCCAAGTCTGGTCTGGTCTGGTCTGGTTTGATCTGGTCTGGTCTAGGACAAATTATAGTCCAAGTAAAAACATCCTTAATCATTATACTTTCATCTTCTTTATATTTACCACCTATTATCTTTCAAGACCGGAAAAATAATCAGAGTTTCAGAGTATCAGAAAAATCATCTGAAAATTTAAGATGATTAGTCGTCGGAGTTATTGCCCATGTCGTACTAAATATTGATACCAATTGTCTATAAGGAAAATATAAATTTAAAATGAAGTAAATTTCTAGATCTATAATTTAATAAATTCAAACTAGTGCTTATGTACAGACATTAGTTGTTTGTACACACACATTAATTGTATGTACAAACAACTAGTGCACAGACAACCATTATTGTTTATGCACAGACATTGGTTTGCAAGCAATTTACGCGGACGTGTTTGCAAATAGACGAACGTAAATCGATGTGCAATTGCACGGAAACCAATTTATGTGCACAGTTATTTCTAGTTCGATGCATACAACTAAATTCTTTGTCCACAAATAAGTGCTCATACAACTAACATTTGTGTATAGACACTGGTTTGAATGTACTAATTTATCAGTTTTGTTCTCTAGTGACTTTTCGTTCTTAGTTATTTTTCCAATTTAGAAAAAACTTGAAGATGTGAGTAAGATAGAATAGGTAAAGTTGTCACTCCAGTGATTTTTTTATTTTTTTGCGGTGAACAAATATATATTGGGACGTCTACCAAACTAGCTCTAGTTTAGATTGTGAAGTGATGCCATAATTTATAGAGTAGTACTTTAAGATAATTCAAGTCCACATTCCCAAGAATCAAAGACAACAAAATAAGGAGAAATAAAAAAAAAATGTGAAATGAATACGGAGTACATGCTAAAAGTCCTGAACTAAAATAATGCTACTAATCAATGCATGATCAAGTTATTTACAGTACAAGAAATATAATGGATCTATACCAAAATATACTGTCTTTATTTCCAGTACTGGCTCAAATCATTAGTACTGAAAGAGGATCAAGACCACTATTTTGGAACAGATTGATTCTACCTTTTTTATCTTTCTGTTCTTTTTTAACTTTCTGACTTGGCCTAAGATAAAGCATTGACAGCAGTAACTCACCACTTTCAACTCAGTGGTAATTAAAGTTTAATGATAGGTGGAATCAAGTGAAATGTGAGTTGTCAGGAGGGGGGAGGTTGATTCTTGTTGGCAGCCAAAGCAAGGATGGAATTAGCAAGTCTGTTGATGGCATCTACAAGACCATTGATTCCCTGCCTGTTGATCTCAGCCTTTGATTCCTCGATCTGAAGTCTCCTCTCATGCAGGTTCAGCATCTCTCTGTGCCTTCTCTCCTCTCTCTCCTCACTTGACTGAATGGCTTCTGCTATCAGAGTGGCACTCCTGGAAATTGCAGGCCCAACTTCAAGGGAATTAGTGGTGTTTCTGTTTCCCCTCTCCTGTGTCCCCTCCTCTTCTCCCACTCTTCTTCTCTTTGCTTGTGAGTCTGATTGCTCACTTGTCTCAGGATCTGAGCTTTCACCCATCTCCAAAACACAAAATCAAAACCATAAAAAGCGGTCAACTTTTTACATTAATTTGTTGAAATTAAAATTAATTTGTAATAACCTTTTTACATGCCCCACGTATATGTCCGAAATATAACATCCATAGAAAAATATGTGGGGAAGTAGGTACAGGTACTGAATAAATAAATCGGTCAAAGCGGTCAACTTGCATGGGTAGCTGAGCTGTGGGGTAGATTTTAATGTAGCGACCCCAAGCGGCAAAAAAGGAAAGAAAAAGAGACACAAAAAGGAAGGAGAGGACATGAAGAACTTAAAGGCAAATTGTTTATCTTTGAGAATGCCAGGCACGTACAAGCTCAACAATCTTGGTGATTTTTTCATCCAGAATGTGTATTTACAGTGACCAATCATTCTGGTGGTAATTAATGTGGGGAAAAATTGAATCTTGACCAGAAGAAAGGAGAAATTAAATGTCAGAATGTGGGAGAAAGGAGTACCTACTATGGGGAAGGATTGCGTAGTGGAAGGCGGCCGGTGGTGCTGAAAATGAAACGCCGGCGGCTGTGCTGGGGGACCCGGCGGCGGCGGTGGGGGGAGTGGCAGTGCTGCGACGACTTGCGGAGGTTCGGGTGCCGGATGGATTGCAGGGAGGAGCTGAGGGATGAAGCCAGAAGTGGAAGCAGAGGCAGAGCCGCCGCCGCCACGACTACCCACCACCGTTCTTTGAGCGCCGCCGGCCCTCCTCTCCACAACGTCGATCAATGCCTCATAAATTTCACGCAACATGTTGGTGGGCAAGTTGCTGTCTTTCCTCTCGACCCTGTCCAGCTTCCAATATGACTTGACATTATTACCACCGTCACCTCCGCCGCCATGTGATGGTCTCTGGTGAGGATCAGCCACTGCTCTCCTCTCGTACTCCCTCACCTTCTTGAAATCCCTCATCAGATTATCCCACTTGTCATTGCACTGGTTTTGGCTCCTCAGACACCCATTGCTCCAGCAATAATCCTCCACCCATTTCCACCTGAGCTCCGGCGGTTTTCCCCTCTCCCCACCGCTGCTCTCGCCGGCGTGCCTCCTCATTCTCCGCTCATCATCCATCCTCTTTGCCTCTATCAAAACCATCGTCTCTTGCACTGTCCAGTTCCCTTTCCTGTACTCCCTCGTCCCGCTATTGTTGTTGTCGTTGTTGTTTCCACCAACCTGCAGATTGCTCACCACCACTTCCATGCAAGCCACACTCACAAACTAAGATCAATGTCAATGGATAAAGAAGTTAAGAGTTAAAAAAGATCCCTTTTTTGTCAATGGGTAATTAGGAAGTGTTTGGGATGGGGAGTTAAAGAAAGGCCTTGCCTTTATTTGGCCTAATATGAGCCTTTACAAAGAAACAGTAAAGGGAGTAATGACAGATGAATAAAAAGTGGAGTATATGTATGTGCAATAATACCACCCCAAAAAGAACTAAGCTGAGAAAGATATCCTCTAGTCTAGTGTAGTGGTGAAAATGGTATATGCAGTATATAGTTTTCTCTATGTTTGTGGGTGTGCTACTATACTGTGATCTCCAGCTAGCACACTGTGTGGCCTTGGCCTTCTCTAGAATCTTGGGAGCTCAAAACTTGTATATCTTCAGGAATTGAACAAATGATTCCAACTACTACTAGTCCACAGGATGGCTTTAGAGATTGTGGGGGTGGAGGAAGTAAGAAGAGAGTGAGGGAGAGAAGAAGAGAGGAAGAGAGTCAGTTGTAGAAAAGTAGGAAATCTGACACTCAAAAAAGCCAAACAAATCCATTCCAACTGATATATCCACATCAATTCCCTTTTTTCAATAACATTAGTTTTCACCCAGCCAGGTAGTGAGAACTAATAAGTTCCTCTTCTTTCTTTCTTTGGTTTTTCGTTATACTCCGTATTAAATTTGTGATTACAACTATACTAAAAGAGGCCCGTGCCCAAACCCCAGGGCTCCTATATCCGGTTTTGTACACTTTGATTTCTCAATAACATTTCAATTACATCGGATTCTTACACCTCGGACGATCACAATAATTTCACACATGTAAATCCTAACAAGAGTATTTGACATTCTATCGGCGATTTGCTTCTCTAGCGCGAAAAAGAAATAAAAGAAATGAAAGAAAATCGTTCATTCCGCTCAACCAACTTCTGGTACAATTGTTAGAAAAATTGTATTAAAAATTGCATTAAATGACTGTTTTTGGATAGTATTTTGAGTGAGGTCCACTTCCGATTTGAGTAAGTTCAAAGTGATTTCGGATTCTCCTTTCTAAGAGGTACAATTCGATATGTGGTACTGATAAAGTATATGAGCCTAGACCTCATGACCCACATACTCAGAAGGTCAAAACACAAGGATAGCATCCATGTTGCACCCTTCGGCCAGAGGCGACCGCATCGGCCAGAGGCAAAAGTGACCAGAAGATTACCTGAAAACATAGTGGACCTCGCGTCGGCCAGAGGCACGCATCAGCCAGGGGCACGCGTCGGCCAGGGTCTTCCCCCGGCAGAGTGTATTTTCCTATTTTTTTTACTAAGTATTGTACTCAGTCCATTAGAGAGGCCTTATTCCGCCCAAAGAAGACATGATTATTGTAATGGACCTCTTAAGCCCAAGGCTAGGAGCCCAAATCCACATTTACTCTTATAAATACTCCCCTTGGGGTAGTTATATGGGGTTGAGAAATATTAATTGCTCATTTTCTCTCTCTAGCTTTCACTTCTCTCTAGATTTAAATACTCTATCAGGTACATTCACAATGGATAATGAGCGAATGAAAAATTGATTCTCGAAGTTCACTTGTTGAGATGGAGAAATTGGAAATTTCCCAAGGTAGAACTAACGTAGAACTACAGTCGGTTAATGGATGTTTTAATCTCTCCTTTGAAGCGCCACAGTTTCAACCGTTGTCTAACATTCAAAAACTGTATAATGTGATTAAAACATGGTTTAATCACATGGTTAATGGTCTGAAACGTTTAAGACCATTACAACACAATAAGTGTGTGTTTAATGGGCGGTTTCACACAATAAGTGTGATGCTGAATGCATAATTAATACAAATGTTCCTCCTCCCCTATAAAAGCTTGACAACAGCTTTTGGAAACACAATTGAGTACACACGATCAAGGAAACCACTAAGCACACAAAAATACTCGTTGCATAGTCTTCTCAAAAGAAAACTCTGTCAAACATTCGAGAAGATCTACCCTTTGTTCCAGTTCGCAGGAGCAACCTATTGAGTGCTCAATACGTTTTTTCGTCCGTTATCGTATCCTGTGAAACTAACAATGCAACGCTCCTAGCTCTTGTTCTTTTGGCTATTTTTAATTTCTTATTTTTCGGAAAAATAAAACAATGTTTTCCCCAACAACAATCACAATAAACATTTTTCATACGCGCGCGGGTAACTCAGTTGGTTGAGTGGTGAAAGAATTGGAGAAATGACCAAGGTTCGAATCCCGCAGCGACCGTGTGAAGGTTACGGCTCCTACGTGTTGGGATGGACCTCTGGTGCGCACATGTTTAAAGCCTACCACCACTAGGTTGACTGGGTCACCTTGATTTACATCCTTCCATATGCCTTGTCGAGACGGAGTGTGGGAGGCCCTTGGGTGATTCAACCTTTTGGAGGAACAATAAACATTTTTGGTATAAGAATTGATGGAGTTTAATTCAACTACGAGAGCTAATGTACTAGAGCAGATGAAATTTAGGCAGCATAAGGCAATATTATTATCCTGGAATTCAGATCCTTGGTAGGATGTATACAGGAAGTATTTATGGGCCTTCGGTTCTAGTATTCTAGGAGAAAACTGATAAATTTAATGTATTCAATTATAATAAGAGTCATGTAACGTCTCAAACGTTGTGCAATCATTGTTTTCTTTAGGTCCATGTTCCTTCTGTTATTTCCTGCCGCTACCAGATAGCTATGCACGAATGATAGCCTGTTACTTAAGCCCTAGGAAGAGTCCGACCTCGCTAGAACTCTGATCAGGCTCGAGGTGATCAGAGTTCCTTTCGCGGGTTGGATTCCGAATTAGGCCCAGTGCTTATTATTTATTATTTATCCCGATTGATGGGTTGATCCCGTTGATGAGCTTATCTTTAAGATGATTCTTGGGCTATGGTTGCAATCCATTGTACCATCAAGAATATGAGGTGTGCCTATTGTTTGTGAGTTGTAATCCACTTATAGAGGTTAAGTATGGCGTGGCATGGGCAGAAGGTTCCAGATGTTGTGTTACTCCCCATAAGCCGGCCCATAAAGATTGAAAATACCCAACTTAGAGATGAACAAATGGAAATCATGTATATGAAGAGTTTTAGCAAAACCATTAGCCACTTGACCCTTTGATGGAACCAAAAACAATTTTAGAAACTCATTCTTTACACACTCACAAGCTATATGATAGTGAATATCAATACGTTTTGTTCGCTCATATAACACATTATTTCGAGTAATGTCGAAAGGTGATTTGTTGTCACAGAACAGATCGAACAACTAGTTGCAATAATGGAAGAGTTAAGTTTGAACTTAACCATTATAGCTCACACATAGTTTGAGTCATAGCTCTATATTCTGCCTCTAAAAACGATCAGGCAATTGTAGTTTGTTTCTTTGCTTTCCAAGAAATAAGAGATCCTCGTAGGAAAATGCTTGTAAATCTGAATCACTAAAAGTTTGAGTGAGTTGGATAAAGTAAGCATGACTAGGAGCTCCTTTAATGTAATGTAGAATGATCAATGAATTGACTTAATTGTTATATAACAAATGGAATATGAGGACATGTGGTTGTAAGTATTCTAACTTCCAGAAATTTTTTATTAGGTGCTAGTTCAAAACCAAGAAAATATTTTAGTACGTGTACCAAGGTCTTTGATATGAAAGGTGTTACCGACATAGGTTTTGATCTCTTGAATGGCATGTAAATGGGAACTCACAGCGATGATAACATGCATCAACATATAACTATAATGTCACAAAGTTTCCATTTGCGATTTTGATAAAAAAGAGAAGGGTCTAAGTTGACTGCATGGAACCCTTGACTCATCAAGGCATTTGTATGTTTCAAGTGTCATCTGGTGTCTTGTTTATGTCCATAAAGCCACTTAGTAAGCTTGCAAACATGATTTGAGGAGCCACATTCATAACGTGGTGGTGTCATGTACATTTCTTCAGGGAGATATCCATGAAGAAAATCATTGTTAACATCCATTTGATGTAAAACTATCATTTGGATATCTCTACAATCTTATAAGAGAGAATCTTGTTGAGGGTTAAACTGTCATGAAAAATGTGTTGGTGTCACTTCATGCATAGTCTGATTGTACTTTCTATTCACTTTGTTGTACATCTTTAAAATGTTCTCAGTTTCAACGTTATGTCCTTACGGAGCAATGACGTTTGCATTTTGTTTACACAGATCCTGGGACTTCTCCACTGCGAACAAGAAGACCATGCGACGGCGAGTCCGACGTCCGTACGCGAGGGTCCAGCAAAGACGTCACCCATCTCTACGTCCGTACGCCCGCATCAAGGACAGGAGGACTCATTTAGCAGGAAGCCACCGTCTGCATACGCCTTACCTGCAGGGATTCTTCCAGCAAAACAGGTATAAGACTACTACAAGGAATTTTGAGCCAGCCAAGTCTCATTCTCACGGGTTTATATTTTCAATTGAAAGCAAATCTTTTCAATTCGAAATCTTCAGTAGCAATTTAGTAAGCATTTGTGAGACAAAACATGGAATTTTTTCTGCTATTGATTTTGATTTGCAAAAGGTTACCTGGTTAAAGGATTCTATTCCTAAGCTTTCAAGCGCTGCTTGGCCTGGTTCTAGATTACAACTGAGCAATTCTTTCTACATTCTCTATGATGCAAATTTTTTCGGTGGGTTTATCCGAATAATTGACAAGGGACGTGATTGTTTTTTTGTATCATGTATGTGTTTGTTTAAGTTTCCACATGAAATGAAGTAATGCTTTACTCTCAAACTTCTACTTATACCTGCCATATTTTGTTTGAGTTTTTTTTTTAAATTCACATCGATATACCGATCCTACTGATTCAGATAGACTCGCATGGAAGTCTGACAATCATTTTATTCTTTTAGTTCTTACTTTATTATAATATCAGAAATTGAGTTGCTAAGAATAACATTATCTCATCTATTGTGCTACTTTTCCAATCTGGAATTGGTCGGCCAACTTTTCGCAAATAGGAAAGGCCAAGTACTCTAGGTCACCTTTGGAAGAATATAAAACGGATGTCCTCTGCTCATTTTTCAAACACTTCGTTGGCACACTTAGCTTCATTCCAAATCGGTGAAAAATAATTGGTAATTAGCTACTACTTTTGACGTTCTGGGATTCTAGCTCACTATGAGCTTTGGTAAATATTGTTTGAAGTTTAAACAATGCCCATACAGTAATGCAAGTTCCTGAGGCTGTGGTGCAGAAAAGTTAAGGAGACCCACCTAATTGTGCTAGATATTAGGCTGTGAAGATTCACACTTATTTATTTGGTATAATTTTGATAAAAATGAAAAGATAAATCTGCATACTACATTATGTTCCACCTATCCACTAAACTGATCACAAGCCTAAAATCTATCAGCCATTTGCCAAAGTATTGTTCTCTTCTTTTTGGACCAAAGAGTAACAATGTTTTGTTTCTGAACATCCCAGTAACACAATATTTGATTCTCTTTCGTATACCAATTTCTGTCTTGTTGGTTTGATAATCCATTTTCCAAATCACTTC